GTGTGTGTGTGTACACGCACGTGGCCGTGTGTGTGTGTGTGCGCGCACGTGTGCACACGTGCGGGTCTGGGTGTGGCGTGTGTACACATGTGCACACATCCACACACACGCGGTCACTATGCCGTGTGCGCTTTGTGAGCAGCGTGAACAAGGCCGGTGGGGGTTTCGGTGCTGCCGTGCGCAGCAGATGGTGGAGTTTCTCAAAGCGAGTCCGGCGGGGGGTCCGCGTGCCGCCTGTGACCCCGCTTTTCCGGGGACGACGGGTGTCCTCTTGCCGCACCTTCGCGGCTGCCCCTCCTGTGCTGCTCCCGCGAGGACGGTGCTGTGCACAGCTTTTGTGCGCGGAGACCCTCTGCCTCTGTTGAGTCAGAACAGGCCCCCGGTCTCCTGGAACCGGAAAACACCAGGCCCAGAAAGTCGAGCCCAGCCCAGGGGCTGCACTGTCCTACCCGGACGCCTGAGTCTGCCCCGGGGGACCCTCCGCAGATGCTCCTCCTGTGGCCCCACACGGCTCAGTTTATCCCGAGCCACCACATCAGCAGGACCTCCTTGTCCCAGTGTCTTCTCTTCTGTGGGGTCAGACCTGCACTGCGCTCCGCAGTAGCTCAGGTCGGGGCAACAGCGTCCGCTGCAGGGTCCCCTGCCACACAGTCCAGTCCTTGGGTGCAGCCTCTCTGTTCTTACGCTTCCCGTGCCAGCAGCGAGGCTGAGACTCAGCGCGGCCCAGAGCCGGACCCGGCCACGTGTTCTCCGCCCCCCATGGCACCCTTGTCTGCCCCCTGGGGACCCACCCTTGGTCCCATCAGCCCCACATCTGCAGGTTCGCTTTGCTGAGGGGACGAGGTCTCAAGCAGAAGGAGATGCTGCTCATTGCCACTTCCAAGTGGGACATGGTCACTGAGGCTATCAAACACTTCGGGGCCAGCGTGGCCCCGGGAGGGAGCCCAGAAGGGCCCTGCTCTCAGCACCCGCCCTCGGGAGCAGGCTTCTGAGCCTCCGTTCCTTTGTCTTTAAAAGGGAAAGTTTGGGCCTGAAGTTCTCTTTGGTTTCGTTTTAACGTTCTTAAGATTCCATTACTAACACGATTCAGTTAATTTTGCTGTTAAACCGGGTGACAAGCTACTATTTAACAAAAACCTGATACAGTGCGTTTTTCTCCTCCGTGTTCTCTACTTTTTAACTTACATCATTTGACAAAAAAAAAAGTTAGGGAAACATTTTCTTTTTGTCCCCCACCAGGGAGTCGAGCCCAGCGTGGGCGCCTGGGAAGACCCGTCTCCGACTGTCGTTGGGCCCAGGGTCGGGCACTGAGTGGTGCGCCCGCGCACACTGACACGGATGTGGGTGGGGACGGGGCGGGGAAGCCTGTGTCCCATGACGCCGCACGCCCCCCGGACTGTTTCAGATCCGCACTCGAAGGAGCGTAACTTCTTCTGGGAGAGGTTAATGGCCGCCACCGTGAGCCGTCCTGTCCCCGTTTGTGCCTTGCTGACTGTCCCCCCGTCCCCCAGCCTGCTGGAGCTGAGCTCACCCACCTTCCATTGGAGGGAGTCTGGGAGGCCCTGGCGGGCTTTGGGCCTTCGTCACAGAACCTGCCCCAGGCCCGTGTCCAGGAAGCTCCTGCCCTGGGCCTTCATCCTGTTCCCCACACAGGTGCTTTCGAGCCATCTGTGAGCTGCTGGGGGCTTCTTTCGTTGACAAAGGTCACTGGCCCTTTTGGCTCGGGCCAGCAGGCATGTGGGGTCTTTCGAGGACCTCTGCTGCTGTGTGGCCGTTCTACCCTCAGAGGAGCCCCAGCGGCCTCACGCGGGGATGAGTCGGCAGTATCTGAGCTGAGGCCCCCACCGGCCTCCCCCGTGCACGCCGCCGGTCAGCTCCGGGTGCACAGGCTGCCCGCGTGGACCGGGCAGCTTCGCTCCGCACACGTGCGCCTGCGTCCCAGGCAGGCTCTGTGCGGGCCCCTCCTCGTGGGCAGCTGGGACCACGTGGAGCTCTGGGGCGGCCCGTGTGGGTGCGCCGTGTCTGCGAGGTGCTCACCGTCTCCCTCCCCTGCCGTTTCTCACCAGAACTCGCTGGTGGTCGAGATCCCGCCGTTCCGCAACCAGAGAATAACCAGCCCCGTCCAAGTCAGTTTCTACGTCTGCAACGGGAAGAGAAAGAGGAGTCAGTGCCAGCGCTTCACCTACCTTCCCGCGAACGGTAACGCTCTCCTTCTAGCCTTAAGCACTGAAAACGAACCGAGGGGGCCCTTTTTCTAAAAGACCCAGAAATGCTGAGATGCCATCGCCATGAAACAGTGTGGTTGTACGTTTCAGCTGTGTTTTGTCCCGTTAGCAAGAGCATGTCCTCGATTCTTAAAGAAAAAAGTGAAGCTTTCGTTGTATTTTCCTTCGTTACTGCTGTGGGCGGGAGCTGCATAATGGGGTAATTACTGATCGTTTTGCTGCCTGCTTGCAGATATAGAACAGCCCCGGGGGAGAATCCGTACAGCCTTCCGTGCTGAGGCTGAGGCGGTCTGGCCATGCATTTAAATCCTGTAGATGCTTACGGTGGAAAAGCAAATAGTTATAATTACTTTGCAGGTGCTGTTAGAAATAACCGTATGGTATTGAGCCCAAAGGCCCGTGCTCGATGTGGTCATTAACTAACATGAACGATCTGTGCTCGTGCCCGCACCCCGAGTCACGCCCCTCCGTGAGTGACTGCATCTCCCGGGGCGCGGGAGGCCTTCGGGCCGAGCGCCTGTTACTCAACTGAAGACCCTCCTCACTGAGACGTTTCTGCTTCCAGGAGAGACGCTTAGGACTTAGGAAAATCAGTTTGCCTTTTCAGCTTAAGGTGTTTCCTTAAAGGAAATACTGCGGTGTTTTCTCCCCGAACTAGTAGAAAATAAATGTGCTGGGCATTGTCCTCGAGGCTCCCGCTGTTGCTCTGCGGCCGGGTGGGCCGTGTGCTCGGAGAGCGCAGTGTCACTCGTCTTCTGAATTCAGTCGTGTTCTGTGTCCGCTCAGCTCTGCCCCGTCTTTCTGTACAGTAGCTGCTCTAGAAGCTTAGAAGATTTCGTGTAATTTAAGAGGGAGGTTAGTTATATGCTTAAAACTATTGCTAAAGCAGCCACCTTGTTTTCTCGGTAAAATCAAGATTCTCTGAGCGTTTAGTTCTCTTTAACCATAACATGTCGTTTACGGAATAGACTAGATTGTAGGAAAACTTAGAATATCTGTGTTGATCTCAGTTAGAATTAGCTGTTTTGGGGGGCAAATGACAGCCGTGCCTTTCAAGATTTGAGTCACAGGCTCTTGTAAAGTCACCCCTCCTGAGGGTCCGTCAGCCGGGACTGCCGAAAAGGGGTGTGTGCCCGTGAGCTGCCCTGCCGGGGTCGTGCGCTCTCACGTTCCGTGACCCGCCTGGGTTTGCGTGCTCTGCGGCCTCGGAGGCAGTGCATCGTACAAGACAAAATATTTAGTCCATTTTTGAGAATGTAATGATTTTATTCTAATTAAACTTCAAGTATGGTTGACCAAAAATTGAAGTTTTAAAGAAAACCATGCTTTATAAGAAAAATTGCCTTTTAAAGCAGGTTAGACGATATCTTTCACATTAATGTTTTTTGTAGTCCCTGCTCCAGGAGCAGTGGAGAGGTGTCAGTGGGAGAGGGCCCATGCCTGTGACCTGCACGCCCTTCCTACGGGTGGGGATGCTGAGCCCCCAAGGACACGTTACTAAGACAAGGGGGTTTGGAGGGCTGTGCGTGTGCCATCCTGTCTGCCCGCCCTGCGGTGGGAATCCCATCCTGACTGTCCTCTGCCGCTGGGGCCGGACCCCAACATCACTGCCCTCTCCGCCTGCCCCCACACCCCTGTCACCAGCCTCTCCCTCTGCTCAGGACCCTCATCACTGTCCTCTCTATCCGCCCCCGGACCCCCATCATCAACCCCTCTGTCCACCCACAGGCCCCTGTCACCACCCTCTTGTCTACCCCCGGATCCCCATCACTGCCCTGTCCCTCTGCTCCAGGACCCCCGTCACTGCTGTCTCCATCCCCCGCCGGACCCCCACCATCGCCCCCTCCGTCCACCCCCGGACCATCGTCACCACCCTTTTGTCAGTCCCTCAGACCATCACCACCCTCTCTGTCTGCCCCCAGACCCCTGTCACCACCCTCTTGTCCACCCCCGGACCCCCGTCACCGCCCTCTCCCTCTGCTCCAGGACCCCCGTCAGCACCCTTTCCGTCCACTCCCAGACCCCCATCTCTGCCCTCTCTGTCCACCCCCGGACCCCCGTCACCATCCTGTCATCTGCCCTGCTTCTCACACCCGTGCTCTAAAACGTAGCCCACGTGGGCCCCGTCTGTAGCTGATGCGCCATCCTACAGAGTCCGTCCCTGGAGCGGTGGCTGGTCTGTCTGGGCTGCGCACACCCCTGACGTCGTGGCGGCCTGTCTGCCTCCATCACGTGTCCGCGTCTCCCACGTTTCTGTCCCTGAGATTTGCCACAGCCCCTGAGAGCCCGAGGCCTCCACGCTGCCAGCCCCTGGGAGCACCCCGGCCTGGCCCTGGCCTCCTGGGGTGGCTGGTCTCGTGTCTGGCCCGCCTGGGGCGTTGGGTCCACACCCACGGGCCACTAGATTGTAAGCTCCCGAGAGCAGGGATGTCGGCCAGCACCTGACTTCGTGGCTGAATTGCAGGGGGCGACCCTTCTGTGGTTTTGAAAATAAACAAGAGAACGAACAGAAAACTGGAGCTTGTGTGTCTGGTGTTCCTCCCCGCCGCGCTCGGCAGGCCCGCCCGGGCGACAGCAGGCACGGAGACCGCGCGCTCAGCCTCAGCGCGTCTGCATCCGGGTGTGCTGCTCGGAGAGTGTCCCCGCCTCGCCACGCCAGGCCGAGCCCCCCAACGGCGGACTGTCACCTCGGGCGACGTGTGCCGTGCGGACGAGAGCTTTGCAGGGACAGTTAGCCGGAAGGCCCCCTGCGGATTCTGAGTTCTTCGTGGTCGCTCCTTCTCCTCGGGGACCCTGTTTGTGAGGTGCCGCTGTGCTCCCGTGGGCGGCGGGTCCTTTCACAGGCATGCTGGCGTCTGGGGGGGGCACAGCCGAGCCCTGGCCATATTCCAACGGCACATGCTTTTCAAGGTTATTAAATTTGCTGTTGAGACATGCAAGGCCTTGGAAGTAAATTCACTTAAACCTGTAAAGGTCACTCTCACGGGCAGATATGCAAAATCAAGTGCCATCCTGGGTTTTCCACCAGAATTAGCCATGGGCGCAGGGGTTAGTGGGGCCCCATGTCTCCTCCTGGTGGGAGACACACTGTGGGCTCTCAGAGCTGTGACCCCATGAGGCAGTGCCCCCGGGAGGCCACCCTCGCACGGAGCGGCAGGGACCTCACTGCCCCCACGTAGCTCGTGGGAGTGTAGGCTTGGGAAGTCAGAGGATCAAGTGCTCGTGGCTTGGGGGCACATGGGGGCCCCTGTGTCACCCTCGAGTCGCCTTCCCCGCTTCTGGTCACAGCAGGCAAACTGAGCTCCGTTGCCTGGGATGGCACCCACCTCACCCTCCACCCATAACCTCAGCCGCCCGAGGGGACCCCGCGTCAGTGTGGTTGTCTGCTGTGGGGCCCAGGGTGCTGGGGCTCCCTCGCCCCTCAGGGTTGGCCCAGTGTTGATGAGGGCACGTTTCCGGCTGAATGAGGACAAGCAGAGTCACTGCCTGCGTGGCTCCCCGGGGCAGCTGCTGACTGACGGCGGCAGTGGAAAGCGTCGGAGCGGTTCCGGAGGACGCGGCAAGGCCGCACACGGAGCCAGAGCTGCTTCCTGTGGCTCGTTGGCCGCTGTTGTGCATGCCCAAGGCCAGTCTCGTGAAAGGAGAAGGTCCCGTCTGCAGTTGGGCCTTGTGAGCCAAGGCGCCCTGGTACTGTCCTGGAGACAGACTCTGCCCCAGCGGGTCCGGTCCACAGCTGTCCCCGCGCCCCGGCTCAATGGAGGGCTGAGAGAGCCAGCACTGTGGCCACGGCTCCTGGCCTTGGGCTTAGTTCCCGACGGTCCCCCGGTGCTGGGACCAGCTGGCGGGGGCGGGGGCTCAGACAGGAAGGAACGGGACGTTCCCAGGAGGGCCTTGCATACCCTCCAAAGTCAGTCTGTCTTTAAAATGAGAAAATGAATCCTGACCCGTGATCGAGTCTTGGTGAGCACGTCTCTGCGTCTGAGGCGTTTTCAGGGGGTTTCCCAGCAGGGCCCTGTGATGGCACCCGGGCCCTGTCAGCGAGCAGCAGAGCAGGTGAGGGTCCTGGGGCCCCTGGTCGGGGACGGCTTTGGGGACACACCTTAGTTGGAGGTCCGGGGCCTGCCTGACCTTCGTGGGCAGGACACATAGTCTTCAGTGTGGGGGTGCTGCTCTCACAAACCCTCTCAGGACTGTGAGAAGGAAACCTCCTCCGCTCGCCGGGAGGGAAGGTGCCCAGGTGTTGGGGACGGGCTCTGCAGGCCCATCGCGAGCGGCACGAGGAGCGGAGCACCACGCTTCCCTGCTCACCGCCGGACGGACGTGTGCCTCCAGGCGTCCGTGGCCCTCATGAGACAGGGAGCGGGTGGAAGGAGGGGTCGATTCTGTTTTCTGTTTGCATCATGTAGTCCAGAAACCCTCAGCATCGAGGTGTTGGGCCCGGCAGGCAGCTCTGGGTACACTGGGCAGTGGACCCCAGAGCCGCGGCTGCCGGCGGGAAGAGCCATCCTGGAGGGGCCCACGGGTCCGACGGCCAGGACCGTCCTCGCTCCCGCTTTACGCATGCGCAGCTCTCAGGGGCGGCTGGGTGTGTGGCTGGGACCACGCTGACCCCCTTGGGGCCTTTGTCTTCACAAGGAGCTCCCCCAGACCTCGGCATTAAAGTCTCATCCCAGAGCTATGGCCTCCACACGGTCCATGTAGAAGCTGGGTGGGGAGGCCATCGGGAGAAGCCTTGGGGACCTCGCAGCCCCCCTGCCTGGGCTGGGTGGGAGCGGCCCCTGGACAGGCTCCTCCGGGGCTTCACCTGTCCCAGAAGACCTGCAGGTTCTAAATAAAGTAGATTATGCCACATTTCTGACCGCCGGTGTGGAGGGGCAGGTCAGTCCAGGTGGCTGAGGGGGTGTCCGTCCTAGGGACTCCCTTCCAAAGGCAAAACAGCCGGCCTTGGCGGTGGGCGGCAGGCAGGGGTGCAGA